CAACACTACCACCTATGTAGAAAATTTTAGGGAACTTCAAAAAAGCTACAAGAACTAATTAGTGAGTTCTGCAAGTTTGCAGGATGCTAAAAAATGTAAAAAATAAATTGCGTTCTAAATAACAACAATAAACAATTGGAAATAGAAATTTTTTTAAAATACCACTTACAATGGCATAAAACATATACTTAGAGATCTCTGACAAGATTATAGTTGAAGGTACAAAACACTGATTAAAAACCTCAATAAAAGAAGAGATACATAGTGTTCATGGAAAAGAAGACTCAATATTAAGATACCAGTTCTCTCTCAATTGATCTAACTACCAAATTTATCAAAATTCCAACATGCTTTTTTTTTTCTTTTTTGTAGAAATAAACAAGCTGCTTCTAAAATTCATATGAAAATATCATGGTTCTAGATTATCCAAACCAACTTTAAAAAATAAGAACAAAGTTGAAATATTAATAATACTTGACTTCAAAACTTCTGTAAAGCTACAATAAGATCTCTCACAACTCATTAATAAGGAAACCAACAACCCAATTTTCTAAAATGGACAAAAGATTTAAATAGACACATCATTGAAGAAATACTGATGATAAATAAGCACAGGAAAAGATGTTCAACATTAGTATTCATTAGGAAAATGTAAATGAGATATGACTACATATCTATCAGAATGGCTAAAATAAAATCATAATCATACTAAGTGTTTACATGCATGTGGAACAACAAAATTTCTCAGAAACTTCTGGTAGAAATATAAAATGGAACACCAACTTTAGAGAACAGTTTAGAAGTTCCTGAAACTGTTTAAAATATGTCTATCAAATGGCCCTGCCATTCACTCCTAGGTTTTTATCCAAGGAAATGAAACAATGCATGCATACCAAGATTTGTACATGAATGTTCATAGCAGCTTTATTTGTATTAGTTAAATAACTTTGTTCCAGTGTTATGGTCCCAACTGTCCATTAACAGGTGAATGGATAAAGAAACGGTGGTATATCCCTACAACAAAACACTACTCAGCAATAAAAAGGAACGGACTATTGATACATTCCACCACATGAATGGATCTCAGATAATTACACAGAGTGAAGGAAGACAGAAGAAAATATATACATATGGTTTTATGTAAATAAATTTCCAGAAAATTTAAACTAATCTGCAGTCACAGGAAGCAGATCAGTGGTTGCTTGGGTGTGGAGGGGGAGAAAGGAGCAAAAAGGAAGAATGACAGAGGCATGAGGAGATTTGGAGGTGATAGATATGTTCATTATTTTGATTATAATGATGGAATCACAGGTATAACCATTCATCAAAACCAATCATCATATACTTCAAATATGTGCAGTTTATTGAGTATCAATTAGATCTCAATAAAGATGCTGAAAAATACATGTGAGAAATACAAAAAGCAAAAGTAAAGAAATTAGCGGAAGGACTCAGAACTAGAAAACAACAGGAAGATGCAAGAAACACAAAAGCAATACCTTTCTTCACAGCTGTGAGGGATGGAACTGGAGTGTGCAGTGCTAGGGAAGAAGTCTCCTGCACCTGGTGGCCCAGGTTTCATCAGAGAAATACAGGAAGTAGGGTTATCAATAAATCACACAGATAAGCATATGTGCAAAATTTTGTAAGTTTTGTTCCTTATATATAATTTATTTAATCAATTATTTATTATGGGTATAACCTTTATGTGACTAAGAGCAACAAAAATAATTTAAAATTTAAAATTATTGAATAGCAATGAAAACCGTAATAGTGGTTAGCTGAAATCTGCTGAGTGACTAACTGAATCATGGTATCTAATATCCACTAGTCTTCACATGTGTCATACTCCTATCTAAAATCAGTACCTGCTCCTAGATCCCAAGTTCTCTCTTCCACTCAAAAATTCACTCCAGCATTACTTCACTCTTTTCTCTACAACATCTTTTTCCAGCCATCAAGAAGATACCACACTGATTAAAAAACAAGTATTTGGCAAACTGTTATACCCCCATCCTAATAAAAGCTTCTCCTTGCCCCAGACAGTTGCCCTGCCATTGGTTTGCTTTGCTTTGCAGTAAAACTTCAAGAGAGTTGACCCATGTCTTCAATTCTTTTCTTCAAATTCTCTTTCACACCTTGCTAACCAGGCTTTTATCCATATGATTCTGTCACTATTAACAGTGATTTCCACATTGTTAAATCCAATGGCCAATCAGTTCTTTCTCTTCATATTTTCTATATGCTTGACACTCTGTTAAATATTTAGAAAATTATGTCAATATTTATCTTTATACTCATATTTAGCAAAGACTTTATGAGAATATAAGTTCTGAGATTTGTTTGGAGTCAGGCAACTAAAGGATGAAAAATAAATAGAAGTGATTAAAGATTTGGGAAGTAATCTTTCTAATAATAGAATAAAGCATGAAGTTTTATTTTGTTTAAAGTAGAGTATGTTAAGGAGAAAACTACTAAGAAAGAGTGGCTAGATACCTAAAAAGGCATTTATAAATGTAGGTGAATAGGGTTTTGTTGTTTTCTCAGTCCAATGTAAACAGAAACAGGGCTAAATTACATGGGGAGGAATATAGTAGTCGTGAGGAGAATCTAGCTAAGAAGAATTAGCAGAATACTGACACTTATAGAGTACCCACTATATACTAGAAACAGAGGTAGAGATAGAGACATATGTTATTTTAGGAAAGATCTTACATCAATTCTTATTCCATTCTGCTGCAGTGTTTCCCTAAGGGAAATAAATATGAACTTATAAATATTTGTGTATATAAAGTTATTCTGCTTTCCAGTCTGTGAGTTATGTGAAATTATCCCTATTTTTAAAGAGGAATCTAAAAAAGAGTTTAAGAAGTCTTCCCAATTACACACAGCAATTAAATGGGAACCAAGAGAGGCAGGGAGGAAAAAAGCACAACATTTCGGGTTAGAAAATCTGGGTTCTAGTGTGTACTTGGCCACTTTCTATCATTTGATTGTAAGAACATTACTTCCACAAATCCCTAATACTTTATCTGTAAAATAAAAATGAGAATACATACAGAGATTATTGGAAAGATTTAATGGCACAGTTTCAGTGAAAATATTTTGAATATAAATATGAATAACTCTTCAAAGACTTTATGAAAGTATGGGCTTCCTTCTTGCCACATGGTTGAAGGTTAAACTAAAGAAATCTAAATGCTCATTTTTAATGAGTAATATTTTGATATAAACTTTTAAAAACTGCTTCTGCCTACGTGTTTTTATTTGCTTGCCTCTCATCCTCAGATTCATACACAGTATGTCATCCTTGCTGTTTGTCATTTCTTGATAGTTCATGCTCTATATTAATTTTGAGAGGTTATAGTTTTCCAGTAGAAAAGAAACAGTGGCTATAACATCATGCTCCTTTGAGTTATTACCTATCCAATATCCCCAGGGAGGACTAGAAAGGTATCCATCCACTGTGACACCCAGGTACCTGTCAGCCCTTAGAAAACCTAGAGCCAACTGCGAACAGACATGAATAATGAAAAACACTTATAATTTCAGGGATACACAGTATGGATCTTAGCGCTAATAGGTTTAATATTTCTTATACCTCTTTATATGTTCCTCATTTATTGTATTGAGCCTGAAATTGTTCTTGTTCCTCCCATTATTGGAAATCTCTAGAAATTTTCAAACCACATGCAGACCCAATAATCAGATTGATATGATCACTAATCACTGGGAAAAAATGCTTGTCATAAATAGCAAGAAAATCCATTGATTTGTAAATAAAATAGAAGCAAGACATTACTGAGCAATTTCAACTGAGTAAGATAATTAAACTCAGAGATGCTGCTTCCTGCTTCTCTGGTATAAACAATGAGGCCACACCACTGGCCTCTCCACAACCTGATGTCCCAAGACCACAGCCCTCTTCTTTCCTTCTCCTTTCCCTAAGGAAAATTCTGGGTCATGAAAGAATGAGAATTGGTGTAACTTTCCTGAAATTGACTTGAGCTTCCCCTGCGTTTATATTTGTGTCATCTTATTATAAGACGAGCTAACATCTATTATTAATTGATGCACTAATTAAAGCCACACTTGCTGTTTCCATTAGCTTATTCCCTAAATTCTCCCGAGTTGGCTGTCTGGTTTTAATCAAAACCAAATGGTAGTCCAAGTTTCCAGCCTGGAGCAGCTAGGAGGAAGTCATTCAGTGGAGGCACAAGAAAGCAGAAAAGATAAACAGATGATAGTTCACAAAATTTGTGTCGGACGAAGGATGCAGATACTGTGAGCTGCTTTAGAGATGTGATTCAGGGACTCTGTCATGCTAGAGGGAAGCAGTTGCAAGTGGTTAATGTCAGCAAGACTGTAATAGGATCAAGATGGAGTCTGTCTTCTGCTTTTCCAGCACTGAGTTTGTGTAACTGGAGGATTCTGACTAGAGGTAATGCTGCAGGAGCCAGATTCACTACTTTAATTTTGTGAAGAATTCTTGGGATCAGAGAGACCTTGAAGAAAATATTCTATGTACTGGATTCTTGGGATTTTACTTACAGGTCATTTCAGGTATAGTATGTAAGGCTGCAGCATTTTAAATTGTAAGAAGTGTAAAAAGGATTTCACATTTAGAAGAATTACGGTATGAAAACTAAATTCCTCCTGCTCTCTTAAAAGATCTTTTGAAAGGAGAGCTGCAAAGGTATTTTGGTTAAGTTGTGTCTATACATTTAATAGAGTGGAAAAGTTGTAGGGGAGGGAGAGAACTGTGTTTTCTTTCTCTTTTTTCTCATAAGCAATGCGGGATAGAAAAAGCTCTACGACTTTATGACTCTCCAGCTAATCACCTCAAGAGCTTTGACAAACTCACTTCAGTTCTGTGTAAAATCAGAACTCCTACGACGCCCAGGCGGGCTCTGCTCCCTCTCCCCCTCCCCTCTGCTTCGTGCAGTCTTTCTCACATGCACACTCCTCAGAGGCAGGAAATGCTTCCCAGGCAATCTGGGCCTGGTTGTGGAGGCCCCTTTCGCAAAACATCAGTCTGAGTTTAGTAGACAGAAGTCACTGGGAGCGCCTTGACAGGCTCCTGCTCCAGCCAAGGCTCCCTCCAGCTGCGGAGGGTGTTTTTGTTAGAATCACACACTGCGTAAAAGTGCTTAGAATAGAGCCATGATCTCAACCACGAAATGTGAACTTATATTTTGGAGAAACTAACGGGACGGACTTCTTTCCCACTCTGAGAGTTGAACAGTGTCACGCCTTGGCGTTGCAGCCCCTCGTCGTCCAGGTAAGAGGCTGTGGACTGTCTCTCTTTATACTCTGAGGCGATGTTTGAAGAGGCAGAAAGATGAGGATGATGTTAGCATCTTGCACGAGCGGCGATTTCCTAGGTTTAGAGCTAAGCCATGAAGTCAGGAGTGGAAAATGTTTAGTGGGTAGAAAACTGTGAGTCAAATTGTTTTAGCAAAATGTCAATTCTAAAATAGCCTCCACAGAGACTTTACTCTTTTCCTCCATAAGCTAAGATTTTATTTTAATCTCTTTTTATTCTTAACTTATTTATCAGTAGAGCTATAAGACCAAGTTTCCTATTACATGGCATAACATGAAACAAACACATTCTCACACGTAAGTGTGAGGTATAAATGAATTCTTTTTATCTCCCTTCTTTTGCCAACACGGAGAGTAGGTAGCACTACAGTGACTTTTCTTAATAATGAATCACCAAAGAATATTTTGTGTTTTGTTTAAAATATAAACATTGGATTCCTCAATATTTTTCCAAACCAGTTTTAACCACAGGTCAAGCTGCTAATGTACAGCTTAAATGTTTTGTTAATAAGAAAAATGAATGCATAAAATTTCACCTATTCTAAGTAGTATTTAATCTGATTTTCAAAAATTTAAATATCAGAACTAGATTTAATTTATATTAACTTTCCTGAATTCTCTATTGAGGCCATATTTTTTGTGAATATTTTTGAATAATTGAAGTAAATCTCAATGACAACAACATTCATTATTACTATTTTAAGGCAGCCGGAAATCACTACGATTATATGAAAAATTGATCATGTGTTTATAATTTGTATAATCATAAGATTACATTTCTACTGGGCTGTAGTCTCTTTAAGGTATCTTAAATGTTTAACTGTGCAATATATGAGGAAATATATTTAGTAATGACTAAAATGACATTGACTTTTAATGCATAACATACTGTTATATTTATATTTCTGAATATTTAGAACGAAAATAATTATTTTATAAAAATAATGTGCAGTGGTATGTGAAGGGAACAAATATTCATGAGTATTTCCAGACCTATTATATGAACACAAAATATACTAAGTGAAAGCTGAGAGCTATTTGACAGTTGAATCACAAGAAATGAAGTATTTGGATTACAAACTTTTACATATTACAAGGTGACTACTTGCTGTATTAGCTAATTATTCCTAAATTCTATTCTTATATCAATGAGTTTTAACTATTTACTAACAAGGCAAGGCATGTTAAGACTTTTAAATATGGCAAAAAAGAATCTATTTTTATATATGTTAAAAAATATAAAATACTGACTTACATAAATTATGACTTAATAAAATCCCTGAATAGAATTTCAAGGAAGGAAATAACGTAAGACATCACTCTTCTAAACTGTGATGAGGTTGCCACAGGAGCTAAGGAATGACATTCAAAAATGACCTGCCCAAGGTCACACGACTAGCTAGTAGAAGAGATGACAGTGGAACCACAGTACACTGTTTATAGCTCAGATATCTTTCTACTGCATCATCCTGCTCTCAAATAATAATTATGCAGAATAAAATATTCACATGTTCAGCAGAGTCTATGTTTAGATAGAAAATTGGAGTGCCTCTTTAAAAAAAAAAAAAAGCTGCCACCAGCGTTACAGTCTGGAAAAAAAATCATGGTTTTAAAAAAAGAATCAAATTTACTCAGTAATAACATTTTCTCAAATGCAAGCTTTCTTTAAAAGGTTTAATATGCCTTCAACAAACATTTTAAGGGAACAGCTTGTTTGTGACTATTTTGTTACATTTTATGATTATGCCAAGAAAATCAATCCATATGCTAATAATCACAGTAATTTTAAGCGTATGTTACTTAAAGACATAGGGCTAGAAAAGAGCTAGTCTGGTTCATATCCTTGTATTCAAATGGTATCATAATGAACTTACCCAAACAATGATTTTCAGAGGTTTTACTTACCCTCCCCCCTCACACCAAAACTGGTTTAATGTACACAGACTTTCCTTCTTTTATCTAACCTAAATTTCTATTGCTGCAGTCTATTTCCAGTTCGATGGGTTTTTCCTCAATGGAACTATAAAAAAGCCTAAGTGGACATATGAAAACATAAGTGTACATCTCTATGTCCAATAAGACCACTTCCTTTCATCTTCCCTTCTATAGCTTATTTTCAATCTTCTAATTGATTATATCTAATTTGAGCCTTCTGCAAGGTCCTTTAGTCATAGAATACAGAATTTGTTATAGTATACAAACAAACATCTGACCAATGCAATGTAAATGGGAGAGCTGACTGCTTCATCTGTATCACACTTCACATGTGACAGTATATGTCACTATGCATGCTGAAACAGAGCACTTTCCAAGGCAAGAGCCTATCTCATAAAACTAATATATGTCATGTCTAGGGGATGCTATTTCTTTAGAGAAAATGTGTGCAATGATGCTTTTTCTCTTTTTTTACGAAACAGATTGGATGTCATTACCACTTAAAAGTTACACTGTTTAATACTTGCAGTGTCACCACTCTCCACATTATTGGAATGGGGAATAAATGCAGTAAAGAGCGAGCCTGCAAAATTCCTAGAGGGCCTGTAAAAGAGAGTACATCATTCTGTTGTTTTTTTCTTAAGGGCATTATAATTTTAAAAAAGGAGAGTTTTTAGGCATGTTGTAATCTTACAGAGGATTGGGTCTTATAGGCATAAGATAAGTCTAAATTGGGACATTTAAAGTTTCTCTTTTGTCTTTATTTCATTTGTTCCTCCTTGGAGAATGAAGGAGTTGGTGCCAGTAGCCAAAGTTATCTTACAATGAGAATCTCTGTAGAAACCATTACAGTGCAGCAAGGTTGCAAATGAGAGATGACCTAGATCTGGATCAGAGAATTTTATTATCAAAATAGAAAAATGTCAAGAATTTAAGACATGAGAATTTAGAGAATGAGGGAAAAGTGAGACACTCCAGATTTGAAGGAAGTGGCATGAGTACTGTGCCTTCTTCCTCGACATGAATGTTAAGCCCCTATGTGCACAACTTAAACTAAACATGTTTATGGAGAAGCCTGCCTCCAGATTGAATTTGGTGTGGATATAGAAATCCAACATTTATTTCTATGGTTCTATCTTGACATTACACTACTGGTTAGTTCATTGAATTTTGAGAAATAGATGGGCTTAGTTTTTAAGGAAGTTAATCAAAATAAAAATGAAATGTGGACCTTGAGACCTAGTTTAAAAAAAGATAGTTGATTTTTATTCAGTGGATTAGAGAGTATATGAGTGAACTTGAAAAGATTATACAGGGACTCTGACACACAAAAGAGCTAAAAGGAATGTAAACAGTGTGCATATGACTTGCACATTAATTAAAACAGATGGGTAGCAAAAACTATTGTAGCTAGTTGTATGTGTGAAAAGGTTGTTTGGGATTAGACCAAATTAACAAAGTGTCTTAGCAATACAATTCAAATAATTCAGAGATGAAATCAGTCTTATTAATGGAAATGAGATCAGAAGAAGTGGGAAGATCAGAGAGCAAGTTTAGAAACACAGTGTTTCTTTTTATTCCCAGAAACTAGCAAAATACCTAGTATGTCAGGTGCTGTCAATACATATTTGTCAATAAATGTTTGCAGAGTAAATAGGAGGGGAAAAGAAAAGGAAAGCAAATCAGTCTTGAAGAGTAGGAGTAGTGGAACTCTTTTCCCAAACATCCTGTAACGATAGGATAATAATTTTTGAAGAGGAAAGAAAATAAGAGGTTGTCGAGTCATCAGAGCCTGAGACCAGAGGTTAACAACACTCTCATAAGATGCCATTACAAGTTCATTAAGAACCAGAAGGAAGCATGACCATCCAGAAATAGTTTGAAATTAAAAGTTACACGAGGCCAGTGAGAGCAGAGTACTAGTGAACCTTCCACCACTTAAATGGGGTGGCGTACTGAAAAGCCCAATGGCAGTCAGAAAACTGGCTCTGATTTTCATCTTTGCCATTTGATGCTCTATGCTTTGAAGCATGCCCCATAACTATCTCAAGTTTCTGCTTTTCATTGGTAAAGTAGGGACGATAAAGAAAATATTTATATCGCTGAGTCATCTTTAGCATCACATGAGATTTTGTATGTGCAAACTGCTTTGCATACACTGTAACAAACAAATCTTTTTTTTAAAAAAAAGCTTAAGTCAATTAACCAAGAAAGAAAGAATCATGGGGAAAGAATCACGGGGTGAAAAATGATTCTTTAAAGGACATCTTGCCTTCACAAAAAATGACCATAATAATTTTTACCCACCAATATGTGTTTGACATTGAGCTAGTGACTTAGTACTGCCAAAATCCCTCCCTATAAAATTAGGGCAATATTTGTACCTACTTCATAGAGTATTTATGAATATTATTACTAAAGGGATATTATAAGTAAAACACCTAATACAGTATCTGACCCACAGTAAATGCTTAATAAATGGAAGCTTTTTGTAACTATTACTATTATCATGATCATCAAAAGTTTCTAATGCACCTATTTCCTAGATATACAGAACACCTAGTAATAAAAACAAGCTTACATGTACATAGGTACATGACTAAAATGAAAATTATAGATATTAAATACAGAACACAAAAGTTGATACCAGAGGCATTGACCCCTGGACAACCTAAAAGAAGTAGCTAAATTCTCAATGACTTTATATTCCTGATTTTAGTGAAAGTTGTACTTATTGAATGACTAAAGTCTCAGTATCGTGTTATCACCTAGCTATCTGAGCACCTGTGTTGATGCAGTCATATCTCTTATTTATATTTAGTGATTTCTGTGTCTACTGTTAGAGTGTTCTTAGAAATGATAGCAAAACTAAAAATAGAAAGTGGCCACTTAAAGCAAAGCTACATCTCACCATGCTGATGATAAAGCATTATAATCTGTGCCCCTTGTTAACTAGAAATATCTTTTTATAATAAGGCAAAACCTCATTTCAGTCATACTGATTTGCCATCCACAAAAAAA